AGTTAAGTTCTGGAAGGACACTTAACTTTGCGACTATTGAAAACGTTTGTTCTAGCTGCCAGGACAAATAATTAGGGGAGGCAGCTCAACACCTGCCCCAGGGCAATAAAGTAGAGAAAGGTGCGGATTCCCAGAGGCAGTGCTTGCCAACCTGCTCGGTGCTAACACGTTTGTAAGGATTGTTCATGTAATTCTGTAAGATTTATGGCAAATGTTTGTATTAATTCTATATACAATTTTCTCTGAATGGAAAAACCACACAGAAAGCAAACTTTGTTCATAAGAAACATAAGTTGTTTGTAGAAAGTGGCATGTCCCACATGAAACAGTGTTCATACTTTTGGCCAGAAATCAAGTGTGGGAATCTTGGCAGAAGTAAAACTATCTGAGTTCTGTGGGTGGAACTGGGCTACACTGCCATTCTTAAAAAATACATCTTTATTGATTTCAGAGAGAGGAAAGGGGAGGGAGGGAGGAACATCAATGATGAGAGTCATTGATCAGCTGCCTCCCCAACGCCCCCGACTGGGGATAGAGCCTGCAATCCGGGCACATGCCTTGACCGGAAATCAAACCGTGACCTCCTGATTCATAGGTCAATGCTCAACCACTGAGCCACGCCGGCCCGGCCACCTTCATCTTTTGATTTCTGCTTGACCTTCTTAGAAATGCTTACATGCTTATGAGCTATACAGGCCCTCACTTGGACCTCTCTTCCCTTTTGTGTAACAATGTGACCTAGTTCTTGCCACAGGTCTGCTTGTGTTTGGGGCTCAGCTGGGCATGTTTCCAGCCCTGTTCCACCCCTGCCCTGGGCTGCCACCTGAGTGCAGAGATCAGGTGACAGGTGAGCTCCAGCAGGGGCAGAACCTGCTCCCCCAGTTGGTCCTGGGTGCTGTTATCTGTATTTAAATAGCCACTCAGAAAGCAAAAAAGTGACAAAATAGACCCCATTTCCTCATATTTTGTCTAACAAATGAACTTAAAATATGCACTGGATGGCTCAGAGTTCTTATCAGCTCAAATATAAAGTTAACATAGTCAGGATTTGAAAAAGTAAAAACAAAACAAAAATCCTTAACTATTCCTAAGAAACAAACATTCAGCTTGTCAAGTTATTTTCCTCTTCATTCCTTACTAGTGTTTTCATAATGCATTAGCTTCAATGATTGAAAAGTTAAAATTTTTATATGTATATTTTTGTCTTATGTCAGGATTTTTAAAAAATTATAATTCTTACTGCCATTCAGATTATAGACCTGTAATTGTTATGTCTGCATTGGCAACTCTGGGCTTAAGCGTCTTCCATTTCTGGGGGGCAGGGGTTGTGGGGAGCAACTCTACTGTGAACTAATGGCATAAATGACCAACTTTGCATTATTTAACAGCAGTTGAGTTTAAAAATTAGATTCCCCCATTCAACAGACATTTATTGAATGTTACTGAGAATCTCACTGATACAGATACTAAGAAAACAGCAAAAGATCAAAACAAAGACCTTGCCCTCATGGGCCTTCCTCCAGGAAGAGGTGAATGCTGAGTATAAAACGCTGGCCGGACAGTAGGAAGGATAGCGTCCCAGCGAGGCTGCTGTAGCAGAACACCAGCGCTGGTGGTTTAAACAGCAGACACTGATTTCTCCCGTCTGGAGGCTGGGAGGCCAGCTCCGTGGGTTGTGAGGAGGGTTCCTGGGCCTGTGAGGGCACAGCCCCCTGCGGGGACTCCCTCTTAGGACCGTGTGTAACCTAGTCACATCACGTTGGGGGCTGGGGCTTCAACTATGATCTGTGGGGGCACAAACATCAGGTTTTTAGCAGCTAGAGGACACCAGGAGCAGGAGATGTATTTAGAGAGGGAAGCTCCCCTGGTAAAGAGGCCCCAGGAAGTGAGGGAATGAGTCTTCTGGGTGCCTGAGGGCCGAGCCTCCAGGCCGAGCGTCCAGGCCGAGGGACACAAGTGCAAAGTGAGAGTGAGTGTGTGAGTGTGTGTGTGCGAGTGTGTGGAGGCCGTGCAGACTTGGAGAAAAGCCAAGAGGCCAGTGCGGCTAGAACTGGGTGAACGTAGGGAAAATGAAGACATTGGGCAGAAGTGACAGCCCACCTAGGCCTTGCTGGGGACTTTTTAAAAAAACTGATCTTAGAGGGAGATGTCAAATTGTGTTCCACTTGTTTACAAATCCATTGGTTGACTTGGTTCCTCCTTGTGCCCTGAGTGGGATCCCAGACGCTTTGGCCTTTCAGGACGACCCTCTAACCAACTGAGAGTCCAGCCGGGGAGATGAGGGCTGTGCTCTGACTGATCGGGTGGGAAGCCACTAGAGGTTTTTGGCTGAGGGGTCACATGACCACGTTTAGTTTTAAATGGGGTGTTCTGGTATCTTTGGGAGCATTGTAGTGGGGTGGGCATGGGGAACAAGCGTGGAAGCAGAGACCCCGTTTGAAGACTATTGGATAAGCTGGGAGGGGGGTAATCATAACTGATGCCAAGGTGGCTGTGGTGGGCAGAACAGCCCCCAGAGCTGTCCACAGGGAGGCTCAGCTCACCCGGGGAGCGACTGCTGATGGAGAAGCCTGGGGAGAGCCCTGGGCTCCGCATGGCAATGAGGAAGGACTTCCTGTCACAGAGGCTGGTGGCTGCGGTGAAATGCTGACCAGCAAGTTTCCTCCTCACCTGAAGCAGCTCGCACAGGACTCTCACTGACTCCCCTTCTGCCGGACCTCTCGGCTCTAGCTGGAGAAAACTGTCCAAGAAGTAAAAATATAGGCACGAGTTAGATGGCAAGCGCGGGTGGGCCTGGGTGACCCGGAGAGCAGAAAGCGTAGCGCGCCCACAGCTGCGTGCTCGAGCGGACGGTGGGATGGGGGAGGCAGGGGGCTGCTTCTAACGAGTGCCGGGGACAGTCGCAGCACCGCAGGCAGCTCCAGAGACGGAAAGAAGCCCAGTTCCTGCCTCCCAGGGAATCCCTGCCTCCGGGAGCCTGGATGGAACTGTGGAAGGAAGTCGCCAGGGTCGGGAGGCATCCTGGTCAAGATGTGCAGAACCATCCCCCTCGGGAAGGCGCACCCGAGTCGGGAGGAGAGCTGCTCTGGCTCCCCCAGCAGCCGGAACTCTGCATCCCTCTGCTGTTGCCACAGGCCCATTGAAAATGTTACTTAAAGGTTCTACATTTTTTCTAACTCATTAGGTTAACAGCTTTCATTGCCACCCTAACTACCTCGCATCTTGCCCTGAAAAATTCCGTTCTCGTGAGGCGTCTGGATGAACTTCGAGTAGCTCGTTTACTTACTGAGGCCCCATATAGTCTTCTCATTGAGTTGTTTATAGTTTATTGCCAGTTACACCTGAAATGAATCTGAGGCCATTTACCTACACGAAACAGGAGAGTTAAAACTGACTACCGTTAAATGTAAGGAAATCAGCAGTCAGGTAGTAATTTGCTTTGATTCGATCGTTTGGACTCTTGAAGACCCATGGCCTCCCTTTAGGCAAACACCTGCGCAAACTTGCATAACCAACAACTCTTTCAATAGTTACTTTTAGCTGCTTAACAAAATACTAGGTAAATCAGATGTGACGATTATATTTATTGGTATTGTACTGATGCAAGGGAAAGGAAACTCCGCAGATTCACTTAGGATTTATATGGGCAGCCAAATAATGATTAGAAATTGCATTTAGGTTAGGACGTCATTGGCTTTCAACACTGGCTCTCACTGGAACCACCTGGGGAGGTTTGACAAGCACCAACCGCGGGGCCCCACCTGCAGAGACCCCAGCTGCCCTGGCGTCAGCATTTAATTCTGCTCTCATTAGGAAACACACTTTATAAGACTTTGGCCTTTTGAAATCTACTGAGATTTAATGGCCTCATTTATGGTCTAAATTGGTGAATGTACCATACACATTAAAAACAATGTGTATTCTGATGTTATTGAGCATAGTCTCCTTTATTATTTTATTATTATTATTTTTAACCCTCACCCGAGGATATTTTTTCCATTGCTGTTCAGAGAGAGTGGAAGGGGGAAGGAGAGAGAAACACTGACCTGAGAGAGACGCATCGATTGGTTTCTTCCCACACACGGAGGCCGGGGATCAAGCCTGCAACCAAGGGATGTGCCCTTGATAGGAATCGAACCCGAGACCCGTCAGTCTGTGGGCTGACGCTCTAACCACTGAGAAAACCTGCCAGGGTGAGCAGAGTCTCCTGTAAGTGTCAATTAGATTAGGGTGGTTGATATTGTTCATATCCTTTATTTCCTTACTGATTTTTGCTTTTTTGTCTTATCAAATACTATTAAAATCTCCAACTACACCTGTGGAATTGCTTTTCTCCCTTTAGTTCCATGAGTTTTTGCTTCATGTATTGTGAACCCATATTATTAGGCACATACATTTATAATTATTCGGTATATTTTAAGGCATTGGCCCTT